GCAGCAGTCTGTATTATTATGTTGTCTACTTTTTAACTTAACCTTTTTATTAACTATTATATATACAAACTATATCCTTTATTGTCATAAGTAAAATTCATTCTTTTTTGTAAGTGAAACTTGTCATTTCTTTCCTTTCCAACATCACCTTCTCAATCCCAAACCAAATAGCCCAGTGGCTAATAAAGTTGCAGTGCTCAGTCAGTCTACAACTAAATTGATATACTCACAGTGCCCAGCTGGCCTGTGACAATTTGGCGTCACGAACAGGATCGAGAATGGAGAGTTTGAAGGGGAAGAATAGTGTAAAGGAGTCAGAGGGATGGGCCCCACTGATTACTTTATTAGAAGAGGTTACAAGTATTAAGAATCCGGGGTGGGATAAAGAGAGATTGAAACCCGCCTGGAGTGACTCTGCCACAGTTCCCTGTCAGTGGGCTGCGTTCACTGCTGTGCAGAAAGGCAAACCGAGGAAGGGATGTCTGTCTTGGCTGCTGGCAACCTGCCTAACACTGGGAGCAGAGGAAGCCACTCAGCTCCATCAAACAATTCAATCCCTAGAGAATCGAGTAACTCAGCTTGAAAGTGAATTAAGAGAAGAGAAAGATTCTAGCTCTGTTGCAGGCACAGCTGCAAGGACAGCTCAAGATCGACTAGAGATACTAGAACGCTGAAAGGGAAAGATACTAGTTACACAGGCAATTGCCTCCCTTGAGCAGAAAGTCCAAGTGGCACGATCAGTTGAACCTTCCCTTGAAAAGTTTCAGCAGTGTCTTTATAACGGGATTCCAAAGACTGAGCTGTGGGATAACCCAGAAAGTGAAAGTCTGTATGGTGAAATGGCAGAAAGTAAGCCAGAGAGTGATGAGTATGTGAGGCTTGCGGCAAAAACCCATAAAATCCCACCTCCTTATGCCCCAACAGTTCAAGAGAATTTGGGAGGAGGGTTAACCCAAACCTTCCCAGTGGTGATGACCCGTGCAGGGCCACAAGGGGGAAATCCCCGGATGGAGACACGGTCTTTTACTCACACAGAAATCAAAGAATTACAAAAACAACATAAAGCTAAACCAGGAGAGCCAATAATAAATTGGTTAGTTCGAATGTATAGTGAAGGAGCTTCAACAGTATCTGTAAGTTGCACGGAGGCAGCACAATTGGTCCTCCACCCTGAAATCCAGTTGGGTCAGTGGGTCAGGCAAGAGCAAAACATTACTCTGTTTTCTGCTGCAATGCAAGCGGCTGCTGCAGGTTATGGTAACATAGAAGAAGAGTTTAACCCCCCACCACGAACATGGCTTAATTTAGAGGAAGCCATTCATTATCTTTACCAGCTGTCTTTGACAGAAATTATTCAAGCAGGGAACTGGAGACATACTTCAGATGAAGAATTAATAACAGAGGCCATATAGAGAAAGCTTTGCTGGAGATCGCCCACCAAATACACTTCAACTCTCCTAGCATTACAACAAGAGTTAGTGACTCACTCGGTAAGAGATACGATACGGAGGCTAGTACAGCTTCTGCCCATCTTGCAGAAGCCAGGGCTTCCCAAACCAATAAAAACTGCCAAGGCCATGGCAGTGGCCCCCGAGAAAGATGACCCAGATGAGCCCCCCAAATCCGGGAGAGAGGGAAATGAAAAACCCAAAACTCCGCGGGCACAAATGTAGAGAGAGCTACTGGCAGCAGGGTTTAATAAAGAGCAAATTGACAGACTGCCTACAACAGTCCTGCAGGGGTTATGGATCAGACATTGTGAGGGTGAAAAGGGGAAGAAGACAGAACCCTCAGCACCCCCTGACCCCCCACAATAGGAGTCCCAGCCAACCGAGCCCCCCATGCAAGGGGCCATTGTGGGGGCAGTAGAGGATCGGGGACCGGTAACACAGAATATTAGCCCCTTAATCAAAGTGCCTACAAAGATTTGTTTAAATGAAAAAAAAAAAGTTAATTAACATACTACTAGACACTGGTGCCCAGCTATGTATTTGGGACTGTGCAGAATGGAAAGGGGCACAGGGAACCCCCTACCAAGTGGTAGAAGTTGGAGGTGCCAGACAACCAAGTCATTTGGTCTGACCCACATTCACCTTGCCTAACAGCTCCGTAGTAACATCAGCTGCTGTAATGCTCCGAGGAGGGCCAAACCTACTGGGACTAAATGTGTTGCAAGGGCAACAATTTATTCTTAAACAGAAAACCTAGCAGTTTGGCTGTATCACATCCCAGAAAATCGAGCAGGAAGACGTAATGACGGCGGTAGCCTGATGTTTTATGAACCCGCTCACCCTGCCAGCCGTGAAGGGGGTACACTAATCTCAATACCACACACCCCCCGAGGCATCGCAACCCATCCAAGACATCATCAACCAGCAGCTGGAGGATGAAACCATCATTCGGACTCATTCTCCGTACAACAACCCAGTGTGGCCGGTACGTGAACCAAGTGGAGATTGACAATTAACTATTGACTTTAGAGCTCTAAATGCCAATACCAACCATTTGACAACTGCAGTTCCATCCATGCCTACATTAACAAAAAACATTAAGTGTTATGGACCCCAGTGGATAGGATCCGTGGACATTAAAGACATATTCTTTACTATTCCTGTTCATGAAGATCACTGGCCTTTGTTTACTTTCACATGGCTAGGACAGCAGTACACCTACACAGTCCTACCCCAGGGTTGGGTGCATAGCCCCACCTTGGCCCATGGAGTACTGGCAGCAGTAGTCCATGAAGTCCAATTAAGCCACCGAAAGGTGCATATCTGACAACATGTCAATAATGTCATGGTGGGAGGCCAGGACTGGGAATTAACCATTTGTACTTTTAAGTCCTTAAAAGAAAAGGTACAAGCATTTGGATTCACTCTGTCCAACAAAAAAATCCAAGAAGTTGGGCCCCAGTGTGAATTTCTGGGAATCCAGTGGCAACAAGGTGAACCCACCATACCAGCTAAGGAACTGCAAAACCTGGTAAATACCCCTGCCCCCAATAATATAAAAGAGCTGCAAGCCCAGCTGGCAGCGCTTAATTTCTGGCGCCTGCATGTCCCTGAGTTTAGTGTGTCGGCCCAGCCTTTGTATAACTTGTGCAAAAAAAAGGCACAGTGGGAATGGAGCCCCGAGCACCAACATGCCATGCGGGCCCTCAAGGAGGCGGTAACCATTCACGCCTCCCTAGCAACACGACACCCAGAAGGGGAGCTCTGGCTTTATGTAAATGTGTCCAACGGGGGGCCTCAGTGAAACTTATGACAAAGAGATACACCTAAGGCAGAGGGAAAATCCCTTGGGTTTTGGAGCCGAGGCTGGAAGGGGGCTGAAGCCCAATACACCATGCTAAAACAAATGCTGTGTGCAGCCGCTGCAGCTTTAGAAGCCACAGAGGCCCTGAGAGGGGAGTTACCCACTGTCATAACTACTCCGGTACCCATCCTGGGAATGACATTGTCTGACCAACACCTCCCACCTGGAGGGAGGGCCCAAGAAACAACAGTGCAAAAATGGATCTATTATATTTTAAGTCAAGCACAGCGGGTAACCCCAAAGGGACATCCAGCACTAGTGGAAAAGGTCACAGAAAACACGGTCAACATATACCCAGATGCAACCAGCTCTGATGAGCCATCTCCCATCAAAGAAGCACCTCCTTTCTCACCTGACATAGAAACATCAAAAGACGTAGAAGTCTGGTTCACCAACGGCTCAGCCAAAGGTCACACCTGGAGGAGTGCTAGCATACAAATTCAAGATAGTAAACAACTTACAATGGAAAAAAACGGCCAAAATACACAGTATGCTAAGTTGGCCACTGTAGTCAATGTGGCCAACTATGAGCTGTTACTAAGGTCAAGCTACACAAAACCCATTTATATCTACTATGATTCGTAAATGGTAGTAGAGGGTTACACCAAGTGGCTACCCTTATAAAAAAAAGAAAACTTCAAAAGACGAAACAAAAATATTTAAAACTATAATAACTGGGAAACTTTATAAGTAATAGCAGAGGGAGGCCTTCCCTTATACATACAACATGTTAATGCAACACATGAAAACAAAAAAGCTGAAGGGCATGAAACAAAATGGAACAAACAAGTAGATGAACTAGCCAAAGGCAACACAGAAGCCCTTGTTACTGAGGCAAAAGCTCAGTCACTCCCAGAGAAAGCACCCAGCCCCTCCCTCCAGGCAACCCCTGGAGTACTAGCCGCAGAATGACTACATCGACAGCATGGGCACCCTGGCCACAATAGCACTGCTCACCTAGCAGCCACCTGGAGCATTCACCTAACCAAAAAGGTAACACAAAAATTAGTCAACTCCTGCATCACCTGCCAGGAAGTCAAAGCCAGACTAACCCCTACCTTAACTACCCCTTTGTCATTACATAATAAAAAAATAATATAACAAGTTTGACAATGTAACTTTATAAACCCACTTCCCCGCACACCCAAGAAATGACAATATATGTTTATAACAGTGGAACCAGTCACCAGAATGATGTTTGCTTGGGCCTCTGCCAAGGCCACTGCACAGGACACCTGTACAGCACTAGAAAACCTGCTAGCCATCTACCCACCTCCTGTAGAGCTGCAAAGTAACAATAGTTCACATTTTCACAACCATCTTATCTATAAATAAACTACAAAACATCAAGTGCTGTGGACCTATCACATTCCTTATCACCCACAATCTAATAAACTAGTAAAACAAACCAATAACATCTTAAAGTACAACCTACGAATAACTGCCGGTTCAGCCTTCAAAAACTGAGACCTGCACCTGGATCACTCAGTCAACTGGGCCAATAATCAGCCCCGCTCTGGAGGAAGCCCCATACAACAAGCCTTTGGTCAAGGCAGGCCCCATGAGCCGGCAGTGGAACGACCAAGAGGTGGTTGGGGGAAACTCCAGACGGGGGATCAGGTAGTAGTTAAACATCCACAGGGGGACAAATGGGAAGGGGTACTAATAACACAGGACACATATAACTCATAGTGAGTATCAAAGTCAGATCCATCTAACAGGAGCCAGACTCCATTTTTCCTTGTTCCTACAGATTAAGTCCATCCGCAGGCAGAGCCATAGCAACCTCGGGGTGCTCTGGATTCGTCATCCTGTTCCAGAGCAACACGAAATGCCATCATGATGACACTGCTAATAATTTGCTGTTGTTTGACTAATGTGAAACATTCCCATGTTCCTGAACCCCAGATTACACGCACTGCCAAAGCCTCGGACACACTAAAATACTAGAAACACCCAACTACAATTAAAAAAGTGCGAAACTGGCCTCTCAGTCATCAGCAATAGATTATGAACTGGCAAGGGGGAACCTGTCAATGTTACTGTGGGACAGGGTGATTACTTAGTTTCCTCCCATATACCAAAATCAGAAAAAACGAGTGTAGAACAGGGGGAAATTATTATAGTTTCTTCCAATGAACCTAGTACTGTTATATTTTGCCTGCAAGTACACTGCCCACCCTGAGTCCTAACGTAACCACTGCTGTGACTCCACCTGCAACTCAAAACTCTACAACCACCTGGAACCCAAGGAGACGACCAAAACCTCCGACCCCACCTCCATGGGAAACAATTGCTCCAGCAGTCCCCCTACCCGATGATACTTTGACACAGTGGTGTACAGCTCATCAAATACACAGGTCCTCCAGATATAACAAAGTACTATAATAATTTAAAAACAGCTCTTATACTGTTAAGTGGTAGTCCACGGAATGGGAAGCCAACACATCCCATATTCCAAGTATCTTGTGGTTCCTCCATATGAATGAAGGGGGAATCACTCACGGAATTAAATATACTGTAGCCGCCTATCGCCAAACAGTCTGAGAAAGTCTGCAGGACACAGCCCTGGTCAACCCAGAAAAACTGACTAAACCCATACAGGACACTGTGCCAAAATCATTTTTACAAGATACCCATGCCATTGTCGTACCTGAACAATGTGCGTTCAAGTACGCAAATAGAGATACATTCCAACGAAAAAACCAACACCACTGGGAAGTTTACCAATCCCAGGAACAAGAGGAAAAATGGTTAAGCACCCAAACAGGAAAACCCCTGTCCGTTTTTTATATTAAACAGGAATACACGTTACTAATCCGAAAAGAGCCACCACAGGTGTATCCACTACCTCGCTTGTCTAATGTCACCCCATGGTGGAAGTCCCAGACCAGAGCTCCAGTTTTCCTTAATACCTCCTTGTTTAATGCCCGTATTACCTTTAACCCTGAACAATAATTTATCAAAACAACATTCCCCAACTGCTCTGCCGGCACCCAATTAACAAAAAAAATGTTACGCTGAACTTGGCCATTTGTTTTCCAACCCACAGCCCAACAACCTCTAAGCGCCCGAAAAAAAAGAGGTACCCTAGACCACGTATAGAATAAACTTAATTCAACCATAGGAGTTTAAAACATAGATAAATCTCAAAAAAACACCCAAAAAATCATAGATATACGGCGAGCTATAGGTTTTCTCACTAAAGAGGGTATAATTAATAACATGGCCCTAGAATACACTGATAAATTAGTAACAACCATTAACCATAAAGCAACACAAGTAAGTTATCTGTTAATACATACAGCCTTTCAAACTGATGCTAATCAAACTTAGAGCACTGCATTTGCCCAAGTACAACTTTCACTGAATTTTCACTTTTCCCAGGTGATGAGAGATCTCAAACACAAAGAATGGCCGACTGGCTTAAAATGCCATAGACTACCCCCAGTTTTAACCCAATGGTTAGTTTACCAAGACACATAAAGCACACGATGGGAGGGTTATAACAAGACAAAATACTTTTTTGTCGTACATGGGGTAAGAAACGACACATGGTACACTACTTATCTCTTAACAACAGAACAGGGAGGAGGATGTACGTGGGACTGGGACTTACATCGTCCCATTTAGAAAATTATAACCCTAGAAGGCCCCAAATATTTAACTCAATCTCCAGTGTACCCCTTAAATGACATTCTAATCAACTTGGGAACTTTGTGGAGGGGGTGGCCCAATAGTCCCCCCAACATGATTTATATAACACCCCCACCAGTGACTCCCTACATTACCCTAGCTCAGCGAGTTTATTAGAAAGGTCCTAACCACCTGTATTATCCCAACAAAATGTTTTAAACCTCCTGCACCAGCTACTATGCAAAGACTCAAGATTTTCAAAGAACATCAACTATCCTGATTATCCAAAAACAAAAAACTATTTTAATATGACCAAAAACCCAGCTAAAAAGTCTCACCCTTAACCTAAGTCTTCCAAAGTCCTAAATTCAAGATGTAGACATACCTCAACTAAAAAAGTGAGATAAAGTAACAACCTACATCAACAATTTACTTGAAGATACCCAAAAAGGTAAACAACTCGCTCTCATAGCCCGAGGGAGGGCGAATTATTAAATATACTACTAACATTCCCCCGCTGTGTAAATAATATAAAGTAATTTATAATGTACAAATGTATGCCTTTACTAAAAATACTCATTTTCCTTAATTTATAATAATTATAAGTTTAGTTATAGGATTAATATTATTCAATATAATTTTTAAATGTTATTATTATAAAATCCATGCTAAAATAAATGCTGTTTCTGCCAACCATGTACACGCCACCTGGCAGAAATCATATTTATAAGTCTTACCAAATACTCCAAAAAAACAAGGGGTGGATTGTGATGGCCAGAACCAAAGAAATTAATAAACAATAAATATGTGCTTCTTGGAGACATTTAGAACTTTTGTCTAATATACAACTTGTATTTTTGTAACCTGCAAATGTAACTTATAACTGTTTGTAGAACTAACTAAGCCTCAAAGACAAAGCTCTAACTGTAAAATTAGCTGACTTAATAGTTCTTTCTCACTGAAAATTTAACCTTGATAATAATAAAAACTGGATTCAACTGCCCAGCTTATCTAGTACATTTCAAGAAAGAACATCTCAAAAAAACATAGAGAGTTTTGAAGGGGCTAAATTTAAACGAGGTAATATTAATTTTAAACCTGAAGGTGTTGTGTTACAATTTACTTATTGGATAAACCCCAGCTTGGACAGTAACTTATTATAATAATTTCTAACACCTTTTAACCCCATAGGATAATAACTATAAAACAATACTATGAATGGCTATATAACTAAAAAATTAACATAATTAGAATATAAAAAAACACACATATCATAGTAATCCTCGGGAAGGATGAAACAGAAGAGTCATTACTGCTCCATACGCACGGATCTCTCTTACTCCCTGTGAGAGTGAGACCAGATCCTG